TGCGATACTACGCGCGCAAGTTCATTGATAGGGCCCAGTGGCAGCCGTTTCCTGAACGTCTATTTTCCATCCTTATTGTAAGTACAGCTACATTACCAGCGACGATGCAGCCTGTCGTAATGCTAGTGGTGCTCGTTATTACTGGTTAATAGGACATGCCAAATAACCAACATCATATACACCTACAAACCACCCAAAACATGCAAAGGCGCTGACACAAATAATGCTGCAAAATGATTCCATAACTGAGCATGACGTACACCGTGCGTATCAACCCGCTAATCGACAACGTAAGTGCGTGTTGGCTTCATCCAGATAACATTTCCGTAACGATAATTTATTGACACGCCGAAGCCGGTGCGAGATTCGTTGTACAGGTGTGTTCCCCTAACATCGACCTGACTTCCTTGATTAATTAATGTTAATGGGAACAGTCGCGAAGAAGGTGTCATTGCTGGTCTCATCTTCAGAGTGATAACCTCACGTTGGTATTATGGTTTTAGATAAAAAAACTCCATGGGTTACTTTCGGTGGATTTAAAACATGGTGGTCTGGTTTCTGTTCTCTGAATACCATGCAAAGTTTTGACAAATCGTCTTGGAAATTTCGATCAGACTAATATCCTCATAGCCCTTATCTCCTAACCCTTCACAAATTCTCCCAATCCACATTTAATTCGAAGGTGAAGGTGAAAGCGATGGTTATCGGCACGAAACGCACCGACGTCGCCCTTAAAAAGTTGTAACTTTGCCCCTTGAAATATTTTGTGTTTCTCCCGTTAACACACTCGGCTCGGGAACCGTTTGCAACATCCCTGCACGGAGGCGCGGTGAGAGTGCGGCGCACCGCACGGAGGCAGGGTGAGTGTGCGGCACACCGCACGGAGGCGGGGTGAGTGTGCGGCGCACCGCACGGAGGCGGGATGAGTGTGCGGCACACCACACTTGGCGTGACCGCGGCCTCATCACGCCCAGCACACGTGCCGTGAGCGGCCACAGCGCGGCCCAGCGTGAGGACGCACCGTCTGGCGCGGCCGGAACCCTCCCAGGCCCTGCGGCGCTACCAGGCTGGCCGCCCCGTGGCAACGCCCGCGAAATATCGGACCTCAATGAACGCGTGTGAACGCGCCACGCTGCGCAAACAGCAGGGAGCGCCGCATTCTTAATGCAGGTGGTGGACCCGTAGGGGGACGCTGGTCTCCTGCTTGTTGGATGAGTGCAAGATAGCGTTAATACGCAGCGATTACAGATGTTTGCGAAAAGAGATATGCAAGAGGTGCTGTAGTAGGACACGGCATCGTGAGGATGAGTGACATCAGCTGTTAACCATGCATCGTACTCAGGCTTCGTGTAACGTGCTTTACCTGTAGGAGACGGGACTCCGCATCTTCTTATGCGGTTTGTGTCACAACCGCGCCAGATAGAGTTACGACACAAAGGCACGGAGGCATAGTTGGCCAAAGTCATGAAATACTGTATGTTCACTTGGTTTAACATTTCACATCTTGCATGGTCAAATCAGATGAAACGTACGGGGCCGATCCTCATCGTTTCTCTGTTGACAATTTACATTATTACTGACAAACAGCCGCATCTTCCTTTCCTTGTGTCTCGGCATGTTGACTCATGTTTTCTCCGAAGCAGCATGTGCAAATACGAGCAGATGCTGCGTCTTGCATGGCTCCCTTTTCCTAGCTGTTTGCTTTCAACTTGACCATACATGGTTCTGGCATTGCGTTAGTTATTATGTGACGAGATTTTACTGAGTGCGTGAGAAAAGCGTTGGAACTTGTTGGACCATCCGTGGAAAATCTGATCAGTTGGGCTCGTTGTTATGCATTATTTTTAACTAGGCGCCGTTATAAACTGGTTGCGTTTTTCTGTCGTGTTTATATCATGGCTGATGTGTGGAAATATTTACTTGTTTTAGGGTGTGAACTTAGGTAGTGAATTAGGGTGTGAACTAGGGTATGCACTTTTGGATAGTGCATACGTTTGCTCAGGTTGAGTTCTTTGAAATTTGTGCGGCAACACCTGCTTAAAGCTGGCACACGAAACCAATGACTTCTAATGTACTCCACTCGGCGAGGAAACAGTGGTAATCTTTAGCGGTGGCTTCAAATTAATATTACAATAGTGCACGACATTTTAAAGCGGAACCACCACCCAACTGCTGCCCACCTGGCACACCAATGTCGCAATTAAGAAACCAAATGTTAGTGCTAGGTGGGGGTACATGAGTTGTCGACCTGTCATGTTGAAATCAATAACCTTTACTGCTTAGACGAAAATTGAAATACATACAATCCCGTTCTGGCGTGTTGTTGATGTAGACTCGGTCGATAACTGCGTGCATGCTTGGCTCCGATATCTTAAGAAAGACATGCCTGCATACCTATCCGTCACTAAATAACTGATGTGAAAAAGAAAGTACGCAGACCCTGCTTTCGGAATTGTAAATCCATTGAAGGAAATGTTCCACACCTGAAGACACTGAGGCAAGCATCATATATGACGAAGCAACCTCACTTATGACTACTTGTATGGTTTTAAGTAAACAGACTCCTCTAGACAACACAGGTTATGTCTGTAGTAAATATGCTCCTCAATACGTCATTGTGTGATTGCATCATAGAGGGTTTATATGGCATTCAGTTGCTGCCAAACTAGCTGTACGGAATTGCCACTCTAGCACTTACTTGTAGTACTTGAAACTTCTCAACAGATGGCAGTGGCGGTGCTGGAAGCGTTTGATGAGCCAAATATTGTTGCGGTTATAGCAGTATTCTTGAGCTATCATTTTATAAGTCTCATTTCCGTAAAAGCTAGCAGTCATGTCCATTTTCTTATATTATGTAACGCAAAACCTGATTGGTGCAGCTCGCTCAACAATGGAGAGCAACTGGCGTCTGCCGTGGTTAGATATTGTGCTCACGGATGCCAGATCTGCACGACTCGACGATAACATACATTCTTCCTGGCCTTCATCGCCGCATGGCCTATGGGGGGGGGGGAGGGGGCAGGATCAGGATGATGTTGCCTTATCGTCATGCATGCTTTAATGATCCCGAAATGGTCTGCGTGAAAAAGTCTGCATATCTTCGCGATCGCTCAGAAATTAGAGGGAAATAGATCTTAGAGGGGCAGGACTGTGAATTGCACCAAATGATCTTCAAATGTATATTTCAGTTTAACATTCCCATAGAAATGTTGAGCACTTCCTTTAATCTCTATGTGCAAGAAATATCATGACGATCATCGCATCGCAGGGAAACGTATCTTAACTTTTAAGAATGTGGCGAGGAAACGTATGCTCACGCATAGTCAGACAGAGGCTATAGGAAGGTACTCAGACAGAGGTTATGGGAGGAATTGGGTCAGTTACAAAATTTGCGGGTCATACAAACATCAAATCATGATGATTTAGACCCTTTCATACTACCATTTTTCTCGAAATCCTCCATAGGGTCAGAGGTTTTATAAGGGCATATTTTTTAAATACGCGTCAAAGGTTGGACACTCCCTTCAATCTTAAACTTCTGTCGGTAAAGTTTAACAAAGGCCGCTTGATACTGAATGCGACGTCCAGACGCGCGGCCGTCGCATCGGAATGTCCGTCACCTGGCTGCGCCCCGCATGTTCCAATGGTGTCAACACAAGAGCTCTGCAATGCGGAGCTACTCCTTTGTTTTGGTATCCGTCCCTCCCCCCACCCCCACTCCTTCCCCACATCTCGCAGCCAGTGGGAGAGGCTCTCACGGTCTCACTGAAGCAGAAATTGACACGGACGCGTACTTCACGGCGACATCATCTATAATAATGAACCTGTCGTCTGAATTCCAACAGACGCGGATTTCGACACTGATGAGATCGTCTTTAATCATGAATTTCGAGCATTGTGCTCGGAGACATCGCGCAGCTAATTTGCAGACTAGTTCGCGTGCTGGTTGGAGATGAAGGTTTCTTATGGTTGCAACAAGCAGGAACGCGTGAACTCATGAAAGACTGAGAGAAAATAGGAAACGCCTCATCAAGTCATTTTTTCCACGCAACACCTAAAGAATGTATACCAATTTCTATACATAGTCTATGGCACCTGAATATGGTTCTCGCACCGTTGGCAATTGAAGTTTCCGTTGCAAACCACAAGCGGAAGTTTGCTCTCATCATGCCGAAATCCCTCACTGCCCTCGAGCCCGGTGTCTTCACGCACCATATCCGTCCGGCCCTGCTTGTTCGCGTTTCCCGTTTTTCGGCCGTTCGACGCCTCCCGTGTAGCCCGTTTAGAGGGGGCGCGCGTGCCACAGGGCGGGCCATATGTCAGCTGTAATTGGGCTGTCGCCCGGTGTGAGAGCGACGCCACGTGCGCCTCGTGCCACCTGGGTCGGCTCCCAGCGGCTGCCGGCTCCGGCCAGTCCTGCAGACGCCGCGTCGGCCGGAGACGAGGCGCCCCCCCCCTCTCTCTTTCTTTCTTTCTTTCTTTCTCTTCTCTCTCTCTCTCCTCTCTCTCTCTCTCTCTCTCTCTCTCTCTCTCTCTCTCTCTCTCTCTCTCTCTCTCTCTCTCTCTCTCTCTCTCCCTCTCTCTTTTTCTCTCCTTCGCCGATGTGAAACGTATGCCGCTTGCTGCTTCAGAGCAGGAAGCCTGTTTGTTGCCTCGCTTTGAAGAAAACTTTCGCCTGCTTAAATATCGGCGGGTGATATTTCTGAAAAATGTTATCTCGCAGAAGGTTGTCAACGGCAGGCTGTGAATATCACTGAATGTATTCTGTTCACGCTGGCTATATCAGCTCCGTCTATAGATGTGGGGCAGCACTCTCCGTTTTATTCCAGCAGCCCCAACTCCATAAATGCAGGCGCGAAACGCTGTTCGCTTACATTAGCTGATGCTATAATTGGCTCCAGCGGCCTGCTCTGTTTGGCTTGCTCCGGACTGCCCCGCTTTGTTCGCCCGGCATGACACCGTCCCGTCTGCGAGTAACAAGGCTTGCGGTCCTGTTTCAGGTCGCAGAGAGTCGGGTAGCGGCGATGGAACGTCAGGCGAACTCCCGCGAAGCAACTCCAGCTCCTCCACCCGAGTCTCGTCTCCCTACACACCCAACATCACAAAACAGCACAGTGAGTGTCGGCAACCGTGATGGCCTGAGGTGTAAACTGTATTGTTTCCTTGACCAGGAGCTTCACAAAATAGCACGGTAGGTCCACGTAGCCGGAAGCCCCAGTTGCATGAAGTGTGCAGCGGTATTATCCCTCATACGACAATCACGGGTTAACGACAGTCAGTGCCGGTAGACATGCTTCTAACGGCCTGCAAAGAACAATACCCCCGCACTCCTCCCGTTACCCCATCCCAACAAAGCACGTACAACTCATTCATTCGATGATCCGTAGCGTGCACGAAGGCAGCACCTCTTCGGAAATCCTTCACCACGGGACAATGTTAAGTGCACTCAGTCGTCCGGCCCGTCCTGTGAAGAGCACAGTCTAACCAGACCATCTATTTGCGCTGCCAACAGCGCTAAATTTCATACGAACAGGGAATCCACCAGAACTCCTGCTCTGTGAACGTCCTGCCTCTGTAGATAACTGTCGCAAGTAGAGCTCGCGCCAGTGGGCGAGTAAATGCGCGGCTATTTACCTAGTTTTGTTGATTGGCGCATCGCTTCTTACAAAACCAAACCAAGCAACAAACTGCCGCACGATGTGTAGTAACGCAGTGGTCGTTTTATCGACTTTGTTTACTAATTGCACTCGACTGTCGTTTCGGGCATTTGCAAAAAGGCTCCGGCTTACGACGCGTTCATTTGGCATTTCGATCACATTGAAGGTAATGCCACCAGGAGGTCGGCAATCCAGGGCCACCGTGTAAGCCAAATGGTACGTTCTCCGCCCACACACACTGCTCACCAGTCATAATGCATTAATATCTATCGCGATGCCGCTTTTTGCGTGCATGCCGGTACAGCACAACCGCCATCTGCGCGTCATAAACAGTCACCATCCGCAGCCGCACAGGCCAGCCGGACGATGACGAGTGCGCAGTTTTTCTGCGCCCAGATGTCTTCCTACCCCACTCTCCCCACGCTGCAGAGTACGTCAACAGACTCCTACGCGCGGCGCAGCTCACGCACGCGATCTGAAGCGTATCGGAAGTGCTTGCATCCTGCAAATGTGCTCGCATTTTGCAATGCTCAAGTCGGGCGCCTGCATGTCTGATGCCCCTGTGATGTATCCATCCGCGGGAGGGTATCAATGTCGGTGGTGCTCGTGCAGTGCTGGATGTAGGAGACATCCACTAAAGATCTATGCTCGCTCGACAAAGTGTTTCGGGAGTCCAACGCCTCCCGGTGAACCCTTGCTCTTCGAGGCGGGGAATACTCCCGACAGTCAAATGACTGGGAACCTTCCCCTCCTGTGGCGGAAGGTCCCCAGTGGCGTGCCTCCCCTGTGATAGAGCTCTCCGCCCCCCCCCCCCCCCTCCCCGACAGCCGGCGGCCCCAGCTCCCGCCGCGTCTGCGATCTGCCGGCCCTCAGCCGATCGTTGCAGTGCCGCCGCCTGTCGTCAGCGCCCGTAAACACGCCGGCTGTTGCACGCCCCCCGTCTGCGGCCGGGCTGCGCCTGGCGCGGCTGGGCCGGCCCGACAAAAAGCCTGTTTATCGGCGGCGCGCAAACGGCCGTGCGGTCACCCTCGGGAGCGCCGCTGCCCCGGTTCACGGCGGCGAGGCGGCGCGGCTGGCGCAGCACCGCTCGCCGGGGCCGGAGCATCGCCTCGGGGCCCACCTTCGCTGACCTGGAATGGGAGGGGCATCTGGCGGCGGCTTGGGCGAGGTCCCGCGTGCCGTAGTCTGCGCCCGTTAGTGTGGATGTTGCGGTCAGTGAGGCGTGGTGCTGGGTGCACGGTTCTCGGGAGATCGTGTGCTCAGCGGCGTGCAGTAGGTGGTCTGGGTCCTATTGGTTTTGGTGATAGGTCCGGTTGGTGATATTGCCTGTAAACACTTATCGGCTCCGTATCGTACGTGACCTTTCCAAACTTGAGCTTTCCATTGCCAATGCCCGTCATCGTCGTAATTGTTGACGTGTTTTAAAGTCGTGTTCGTGTATTTGGTGCAGTGCCAAAAGTGTCATTGTTCCTCTCAACGCTCTGAGATGCGAAGGAAATATTGAGGAAGCCTTTTCAGTTGTGTGTCCATCATCAGGTCGCTAGCCTCTTACCCTATCACAACGGGGCCTATGATGAGGTCAGGCGGAAGCTTCGTACACAAGATCAGCAACCATTCACTGGCGCCGCGGTTGGCACGTACAATGCATGGGCGCGAGCCGGCCGCATGCCGACATGGGCTACTTGAGACTCGCGCGTGTCATGCCATTCAGCTGTTATCTTCATTCATTGGACGCGACTTACCGAAGCCCAACTACCACGAACGCTGTCGCCAGCACCCGTCGCACAACATCCAACCCCGCCGGCTTTTCAAGTGACATTTGCACGTGAGAACCCGACAAGCCCTACGCTGCTGGCAAGGGCCACGGCACGGAGGGGCGTGCGGCGCCCCCCACCCCCCCCCCCCCCCTCCCCCCTCCGCGCCTCACGGCAGAGGTCGTGCCCGATTACTCAGCGCCGCCGACTACGGCGCGGCCGGTCTTTAAAACCGGGACATGAGCCCCGGCGGTACACAATGACGCAACGCCGCCACGACCCAGCGGCCGGTGGCGCTGTTTACGCCCGCCCGCGCCGCCCGACAGCATCGCTGAACGGCGTGGCGCCGCTGGCCGGCCGCGGCGCGACGCCCTCGCCACCGGAGCCGGACCTGCCGCCGCTGCGGCACCTGACCAAGGTCAAGCGCTTCCTCACCACGCTGCAGAAGTTTGGCCTCGACATCTCGGAGGAGGTCGGCGAGCGCGTGCGCGCGCTCATCCTCAGCCTGGTGGTGAGTGCGGTCACATGCGCGAGCAGGTGCGGGAGTTTAAGTGCGAGGGTGCACACACGCTCTCAGCTTTTGAGATATGCATTATTGCGACTTTCATAGAACAACCTTGCCTAAAAAAGTCATCGAACGTTTCGGGTTGGATGGGTGCTTTGGCACCACTTCATCGCTGTTGTGAGCCGTCATAAGGCTCAAACCATCTTTAAGACGCCATGCGCGGGCTCACCTAACATTGTCAACTGCCATTCATTTGTCGTGGTATCTTGTTTGTGCTGATGTCACGTAAGCAGCCTCCATCCCGGACCTGACACGCTGGCACGGGTCACAGCCCCCGCCAGTCGTTTCGTGTGGTGAGCACCACGGACCCAGCCTCCGCCGCCGTGTGCACAGCCCGACGGCATGGCCGAAAGCGACGCCGCCCAGCTGCGCCCGTGTCCTCAGAACGGCTCGGTGACGATTGAGGAGTTCCATGGCGCGCTACAGGAGGCGACTCACTACCCGCTGCGGCCGTTCGTCGTGCCTTTCCTGCGCGCGAACCTACCGCTGCTGCAGCGCGAGATGTCCCACCACGCCCGCCTCGCCAAGCTGGTGAGGACGGGCTCCGGAGGAGCTCTCTCCGCGGTGAATGTCACTCGC